GTTCGTACTTTTTAGTTAATGGAAATGTTCGTTTTGTGGGTTGCATTGATGAATCGTTTTGTGGGATTAAATAAGTTCCATTAGGTAAAATTTTTGCTCCCTTATCCTCATCATTTTGAAAATTATCAGGAAAGACCAAATCCTGTGTTATCCATTTATTGCTGCAAGAAAAATTACGTGAATTCAAATTCGTAAAATAAAGGGGAATAATAATAATATATTAGAAAGTCAAACTTAATTTTACCTTAATAATAAATCAGAAAATGAGTTACAGGCATAAATTCGGTCACTTGTAATATTTGTTAGAGGAATTACCAATAAAGCAACTCCTATCGGAATAGGTTTAAGTATACAAGGAGCAACACTATTATCCGATTTATCTTGATTATCCTCTCTCTCTAAAAATTGAGCAAATTCTATTTTTCCTTTAATAATGTCATTATTATAATAATCAATATTATTTTTATCCGAATTCTTCAAAAATAATAAATCAAAATTTTCCAAAGAATCAAATTCATTATTTTTTTTATCATATAATGTTAATTTTGCATCAACAAAATTTAAATAATTTCCAAAAAATATTAAACAAAATGTTAAGCACACATAATTACGTATCGATATTTTTGTAGAATTATAAATTAAATCAAATCGAATCATCATGATATGTTAGGAATAACAAACTTTTAAAAAAAAAAAAATAAAAGAATGTGGTTTGAAGAAACTATAATATCATGAGAGGTATTTATTTAGTAATTTAAGGAGAACTTTTAAAGTTGGAATTATAAACAAAAAATCGATTATTTTTAAATTTGTGTATCAAATAAAAAGTAACAAACATAACATATTTATCTATACTAATCTAACAAAATAAAATAAAAAAAAGTAAACTAAAATATAATACAAGGAGGATGATGAATAGAAAGAGAATTTTGAGAATTTTGCTAATTTTGCCATTTATATCATTTATATAAAAATTTAAATTAATCTTCCAAATTTAGAATAACTAGCTGCATTAATTCGAAACTTTTATAGCTATAAATTTCACTGAATGAGCCACAGTAAATCGCTGCATTTAATATAAATAATGCCACAAATTGATCCCAGCCGACATTAATATTGGTATCATTAATCTTGGTACTGGTTGTTTTTCCATTTTGATACAATGGAAACTGAAATTCGAAATACTCAGTCGGATAAAAATGATATAGTTGGTATTGAAACCTTGTTTACTGGTTTTAGAGAAGCATTAGACCAACATGTATGTGTAATATTACATTCATTAATTTCTTATCATTATTATTATTATTATTCTTACTATTAACTAATTTTGATAGTATAATAGAAGAGAAAGAATCATCAAATGTTCAAGGTTTATTAAAATTTTTACATGCAACTTATACGTGAATTAATGCTGATCCAATTCCTTTTATAGGGATATTACATATTTGAGTAAAAAGTTAATATTTCTTGCTCATAGGTTTGTTTTAAATTTTTTTCTATTCATTTTCTTTATTCTTTTAATTGAAATTTTGATTTTTTAAATTTTGGATTATAAGAGCAAACCAAAAAACATTAAAATCGGTTTTAGAAGAAGCAGCAACAAAGAAAAAAGAAATACTTGAATTATTTCAACAAATTTCTTGTGATTTAGAAGATGCAAATTATTATAGGTAGATTCTTAATTACCATTATAAGTTTGTTTTAGGATATATCGAATTTTAATTTCATTGTAATCATGTTAGGTATCACAAAAATATTTCTCCTGCAATTCAGGAATATATTGAAGCTGTGTCATTTCTAGAATACTTGGAGCATGATCGATTAATCCCTAAGGATAATGTTGATTCAGATTTTAAAGACCAATCGGGCAAACTTGTAACATATATTATTTTTGCATCTTGATATCTCATAAATTGGATAATAACGTATATACACTTGTGGAATTTCATTTTAGTTTTTTCACGTTTTAGCTGAAGATTATGTTTTAGGTATAGCTGATCTAACAGGCGAATTAATGCGTTATGCTATTAATAGTATTGGCAAAGGTGACCATAATCGCGCCATACAAGTTTGTCAATTTTTAAGGATTTTAAAGGCTGGTAAGAAAACTTTAAATTAAAATCATTTTTGTAGCTGAACAATATTAACCGTTCATTCGTAAGTAGATTATGATGCCTTTAAAATTCCAAGCAAGTCTCCATTAGCAAAAAAAATGGAAGGAATTAAAATGAATTTAGCAAAGGTCGAAGACGGTACGGATATTTTAAGTTGATTTTTTTTCAATAGTTCGGCTTGATTTGCTTGTTTCACATTATATTTTATATTCATCACCACTTAATAACTATCTATAATTAGCTTGCTACGCTTTTACGATCAGAGGTTCTGGTAAGTCTTCATCGCTGCCTTATTACGTTTGCATCCCATTTTCAATATTTTCTAGATTATAACATATTTATTTGTTTTCCACTTGATTTGTTATTGATTACTCAAATCATAGAATATCCAAAAGAATTTTATCAACATATAGTTAGTATGCATTCGAGAAATTATGAAGGTATGGATGTTGATGAATCTTAAAAAGTTTCGCGCATGTTTTGTTTCATTTTGTAATATATGTTCATGCCCTATTTGAGGATTTACATGTGATTTGCCGATAATATTACACGACTTTTTATCAATCTATTTGATGTGTGCTTATTAAATAACGTATAAATATATATATATGCTATACTCGTTTTTTTTGAAAACCAATATTTTTCCATCGAAAAGTTAGTTGAAAAGTTTATTTTATTGTTAAGATAGGAACATTTTTTAATACTAAATCAAAAATAATACTTTTCCAATTTTTAAATTACTGATTTGTTTTATAAATACTATAATTAAAACTTTTTAACTTAAAATATTATAAATATAAATATTTAATGATAATTTGTGTAATTACAACTAAGATTTAATAGATTAGCAAATAATGTATAGTTATTAGTATTATATACAAGTAATTTAAGTAACATAAAACAGAATTTTTCTTAATTAAAATAAAATTTCACTTGATAATATTTTAGATTTAACAAGATAATATAAATTATATATATTGATAACTAAAATTAAAAAATTAAGAATTAAAGTAAAAAACTAATCAATAATTAAATAGTTTAAAGTAATAAAATATAAATTTTAACTATTTTACCTAAAATCCTTTTATTAAAAAATAAATAATAATATTTTTATAAAATAATAAAATACTATTCAAAATTTTTATTATTTATGTTTTAATTTCTTAAAATCTTAATTAAACATCAATTTAAAATTTATAATAATTTTATAGTAAATAATAAATAATTTCTTAGCATTTAATCTTTTTATAAAAATTGTATTATTAATTAAATATTTAATTTTTTATATAATTAATTAGATACTATATATATAAGACCTTTAAAATAAAAAAAATAAATAATGAGTAAATATATTTTAACCTAAAAATCCTATTTGGTATATAAAAATAAAATTGATTTTTTTCTGAAAATTTTCTTCCTTTTTATTATAAAGATCCTATATATTTAAATTTTAATAATTAAAATATAATATAGAAAGTTTTTAATAAATTTAATTTATTAAATAAAATAATATATTAAATAAAATATATTATAAAAAAAATAAAAGTTATAATAAAAAACTTAATTTTTCAGATAATTATATTTTAAAAAAAATTATAATAAATTAAAAAAATAGTAACTTTTAAATAAAATAATAAAATTAATGAAATAATACTTTTTTTTAATTAACTAATTTTATTAAAACTAATTTTTTATTATTTTAAACTAATTTAATTAATTTAGTTTTAAATTTAATTAATTTTTACTAATTATTTTAAGATTTTATAATATATAGCAGTCAAAAATATTGCACTACTTAAATGTAATTTTTTGTGATTAAAAAGATATTATTATAGTCAGTTCTTTAAGATACTTATGAGTGATAAGCAAAGCAATATTTTAAGTAATAAGCAGAAGGTTTATTTTATATTTAGTTTAAAAAAAGTGTCGATAAATTTAACAATTTATTTAATAATAATAACAATAGAATACTACCTCAGTCAGCACTCTATACTATATGAGTATATTAAGGAAATTAAACTAAACTATTTAATAAAACTATCTATTGAACATACTGTTAAGCTAAAAGAAAGTGTTCTATTTATATAAAATAAGATATATAAAGTTATCGAAGATATAAAAGAAACAAATAAAATATATGAAATAAATATAATATAATAAATATATAACATAAATAAAATAAAAGAAATAAATAAAAGATATTGTATAAAAGAAATATATGCTATAGATGATATAAAAGACGTATAAGATATATATAATTTCTTAGGGATCAACATCATCCTTTTGATCATCATCATCTATGTCTTCTTCTGTATAACATCACTCTCCTTCAAGATTTTGCATTCTCGTATAAATCTCAGTAGCCTTATCTATTAAGTCATTATATTCGACCATTGATAATCCAACTATCAACTTAAGAGTGATTTTTCTATTTTATGCAATCTGTGCTGGTCTAAGGAATTCAAAAAGATATAGATGCATAATAGTAATATTTAGATAATTTTTTAACGTATACTGAGCAAACTATAAGGTCTTCTATTTCCTCTATAAACTTTTTAAGATAAAAAGCATTTGTCAGTATTAAAACACAATTATTTATTCGTTTAGTTCTTTGCAATATTCAATTTGCAAAAGAAAACTTTATTTTCAAAGGCATAGTTTTGCTATAAGGTATATAGTCTAAATTGACAAAATTTCTGAATAGATATACAAACGTATGTGACCTTCTGACCACTTTCCTAGTATACAAAATTTCTGAAATTATTATTGAACTTTAAATTAATCTACAAGATCAGGAAACATATCAAAATCTAATATTAAATTCAAGCTTAAAATCAGGTTAGGCTTAAATCCTGTTAACATATCTTCTTACCCAAATTTTAAGTTTTCAAGTTCAAGATATATACTATCTTTGTTAACACGCTGGCCTATTTTTAATCCCAAATAATATAATGAAAAAAGTATATTATTCTGCTTATTTTTAAATCAAACACAGAATACTGAGAACTGAAGTATCTAAGTATACTCTGTATAAGATTTTGCAAGCTCATTTTGTATACTATATTTTCATGTTATTCTAGAATTAATTCTAAAGCTAATTTATTATTGTAAACAAATCACCACTAAGTCTCATCTCTTTGAGATAAGACTTAGCGAGTTCAGATACCAAATTTTTGTTTTAAAAGTTATTGAGTCAATTCTAGCATATCATTATTTTTTTGATATACAGGAAACCATTCTAGAAGCATTTCCTTTACATAAATATATAGTCATTAAATCTCATCTCTAAAGTGAACTTATTTAAGTCTCACTTCTAAATCTAACTTCTAGAGCGAATATAATGTTTACAAAGTCTGCAAAGTAAAGTGAAGCATATACACAAGATATGTTTCACTTCTAAGTCTCACCTCTAAATCTAATCTTTAGGCAAAAAAATAAGTCTCATCTCTAAGTCTAACCTTTAGGTAAAATATAAGTCTCAACTCTAAATCTCACATCTAAATCAAACTTCTAGGATGAACAATAATGTTCATGAAGTCTGCA